AAACTCCGACGAAACAGTTTGTCGCAGCCCCTCGTTTGTTGTCCTCTTCTCCCTCTCTGCCTACGGTTTACCGGGCAGTTCTATTTGACGATATATATATATCGTCAAATAGAACTGCCCGGTATATATATATCGTCAAATAGAACTGCCCGGTAAACCGTAGGCAGAGAGGGAGAAGAGGACAACAAACGATATATATTTGACGATATATATATATATATCTATTTGACGATATATATATATATATATATATATATATGATGTGTTAAAGGTACCACCTTGAACTGCAGCAGCTCCTCTCTCTCTCTCCCTGATGTGTTAAAGGCACCACCTTGAACTGCAGCAGCTCCTGCCGGCACACTCTCCTGGCTATGGCACCGAGGTAAGTACTCTGCCCAATGGCGCTGCGCCAGATAGACTGCCCACAATGCAAGAACGGATTGTTTTGGCAATTAGATACCCTTAGGTGAAAGAACGGTATTTGAAGCTTGGTACACATTCAATCAAGGTTGTCACTCGCTAACACTGGCCCCCCAGCTGCACTCAGCAGCTTGGTGTCGAGCTGAAATCTGAACTCACTGTACATCCACGCTGAGTGTTGGCACAGCCATACATCGCTGGGCCTACTCAACGTGCCTCCGCCCTTCATGTGAAGCCGTTTGATCTACCCTACGATCGGTGGTCCTAGATGCAGGCCCAAGTCCTGGTCTAGTCACCTGGCCTACAAACAGCCGACCTGGGTGCTTACTTGTCGTCCAGGCATCTCCAGTGATGCAGCAATTGTGGCCCTAACAGCACAAGGACTGGGCCAATCACTACGGGACAAAGCTGGTTCAGTGTGACCATGGGAAGAAAATCATCTGGGCCTCGAAACAGCCAAAACGTGGAGAACCAGTACTCTGCTGATTTGGAACGACACCCCTCCCAGACCAGACAAACTCAGGAACAGCCAAATTACACTGGCCATACTACCTGAGCACTAGGTTTAATGTGGATAGGATCGCTTAACCAAGCTTCATAATTTGAAAACGAGCTCCATGAAAATACATTCCACTAATCCAAATAAATAAGCGACGCTGCAAGCACCTTGGGCAGTTGAGCCAAATTCAAACTAAACTGCAACGGATGGTACAAGGCCCCCTAACCCAGACAAAATCGAAACAGAAAAAATCTCAGATAGAAAATAAAGAACGCAAGAACGGCCAAAAATATGCCCAGAAAACCCACACAAGGGCCAGAAGCTGCACCACGCCCCACAAGGCAGCCCAAAATGAGAGTCGCACAGTCTGGGCCCTGGGGGCTCTGCTCCAAGGCCTTCAGCCTAGGCAGGTGGTAGAATGGGTAAGTTTCTTGTCTCGGCATAATCCGTCGGTCTATTGGTGGACTCGGGGGTGAATAATCAGCGCGATGCAATCCCCACAGAAGGAAGCAGGTTGTTCTTTTCCTCAATCAAAGCTACAGGGGAGAGGGGGGGAGGTGTTCTTGCATGTGTAACAGACGTTTCACTCTTTGCTTGTGGATTGCTGCAGGAAGCTCTCATGAAAAAGGCAATCAAACGACCAGCTTTGTACAGATGAAGGTACTCGATGAAGGTAATCGATGAAGGTAATCGATGAAGGTAATCGATGAAGGGGTTGTACCGGCTACTTTGATATGACCTTTCCAGTCAGGGTAATATGGTGGCAAGAGGTGTAGTACGGTTTCCTCATCTTCTCTCCACCAAAGTTTAATTACCTCCAACTTGTCCAATTTCCATACCCGAATTTGTTTACACAAAGAGCGTGACAGTTCCTGCTTTGCTGCATCACCTCACTGACAGACTGAGCCCTACCAAAGGTTCGAACTTCGAACTCTTCTCCCCACCAAAGGTCAGTCGCCTGAAAGCCATTGTTTGAAGGGGGGGGGGGGGGGGGAGGGGGGGGGGGGGGGGAGGAAGAAAAAAAAAAAAAAAGAAAGGGGGGGGGGGGGGGGGGGGGGGGGGGGGGGGGGGGGGGGGGGGGGGGGGGGGGGGGGGGGAGGAAAAAAAGAAAGAAAAAAAAAAAAAAAGAAAGGGGGGGGGGGGGGGGGGGGGAGGAGAGAGAGGGGCGGACGCCGAGGCGCTGGGTTGAGCTGGGCTTTATGTCATTGATGTAGCCTGTATATACTGGAGCAGGCAAGCACATCTTGGTAAGATGAATCTCAGGTAGCACGACACGGAGAGCCACACCTCACTGTGACATATGTACAGCCATTGGGGTCCTGTTGTGGTCCCGAAGACATACCGAGGATGTACTTTGAAGCGACTTATCCTCATTGGAATTGCGCTGGATTTAAATCATTTAGTGGAGGATTTGATTGGATTTGATTGTGGATTTGATTGAGGATTTGATTAGATTTGATGGCTGATCATTTTTGGATTGGATTGCAGCCGATGACATTGCTGCTGTAGGAGTTTTCGTGTTGGCCGTACCTCAAGCTTCGTCTAATGAAACTCGTGTTTCCATTATAAGTTTCTTATGATTGCCTCTTGGTTTTGGGTTGTTTGTCCAAGTGCCTGCCTTTGTCAAGATTCACCTGGACAGCTGCAAGTCCCAATACAGGTCATGCAGCCAGCTTCATGCCAGCCGCATTTTGACAGGGCTTTTGGTACATCAGGCAAACTTTAAGCCGAGAGCCATCCCATCAAGAACACATGTCGGTTTGGGTGTTTCTATGGCCTGTTACTCTATCTTTTTTTCTGTCTTTGAATTTCTTCTTCTTCTTTTCTTTTTTTTTTTTTTTTTCCCCGAAGGCAGGTTGACAAGTCAAAATCACACCAACACAAATGTGCTCATTGTAATGCTATAAGGGATGCTGAGCCCAGTTCCCAGCATCTGCCGCTCCCCACGAACAAAAAAAAAAAATAATAATAATAATAATAATAATCTCTTCTCTATACTACTAAAGGAAATAGCGGTCCTCGCGTGGGGCCCAACAGAAACCGGGTGCCGCCGTGCGGGACCGCTCTCGGGCAGTGGGCAAGGGGGAACTGACGGCGCAGCGGTGTTGGGAAGTGGCAGCGCCGAAAAGCGCATAGCAAAAGGCACGACTGAAAAGCGCATAGCGAAAGGCCTCGCGCCGGAAAAGGCCGGGAACGGAGCGGCTCGCGTTTGAGCCATGCGGGTTGTGGATGGTGGCATGCAGTCGGGGAGAGCGGGCAGGGGAAAAAAAAGCGGGAGGAAGTGGTCGGGTCGGAAAAGGCCGGGAACGAAGCGGCTCCCGTTCGAGTCGTGCGGGTTGTAGACCGTGGCATGCGGTCGGAGAGGGTGGCATGCACTCAGCGAGGGCGGGCGCAGGCGATCGTTCGGGAGCGAAGCGGGAGGAGGAGCGGCAGGGGAAACGGGGAGGGGGTTAGGAGCGGGAGGACCACGAGGGGAAACGGGAAGGGGCGGAGGAGGCGCGGGAGGAGGAGCGGTAGAAGGTGCGGGAGGAGGAGCGGGAGCGGAAACAGGGAGGGGGAGGGGAAGGAGGAGGAGTTGCGTTGGCTCTCTTCTCTTCTCTTCTCTATCTCTATCTCTTCTCTTCTCTTCTCTTCTCTTCTCTTCTCTTCCCTTCTCTTCTCTTCTCTTCTCTATCTCTATACTCCTAAAGGATCTCTATCTCTATCTCTTCTCTTCTCTTCTCTATGTACTACTACTAAAGGAAATAGCGGTCCTCGCATGGGGCCTGACAGAACTACTACTAAAGGAAATAGCAGTCCTCGCGTGGGGCCTAACAGAAACCGGGTGCCGCCACGCGGGACCGCTCTCGGGCAGTGGGCAAGGGGAAACCGACGGCGCGGCTGTGTTGGGAAGTGGCAGCGTCGAAAAGCGCATAGCAAAAGGCACGACTGAAAAGCGCATAGCGAAAGGCCTCGCGCCGGAAAAGACCGGGAACGGAGCGGCTCGCGTTCGAGCCATGCGGGTTGTGGACGGTGGCATGCAGTCGGGGAGAGCGGGCAGGGAAAAAAAAAGCGGGAGGAAATGGTCGGGTCGGAAAAGGCCGGGAACGAAGCGGCTCCCGTTCGAGTCGTGCGGGTTGTAGACCGTGGGCCTCGGCCCACATGCAAGTGTCGCGTTTAGTTGCGACAGCTCCGCGACGAGAAGGAGTGGTGGATGGAGAAAAAATCCAGCGGTCGTCAGCAGAGCGCGGGGAGATGGCAGCTTTGGCACCCAAACGGGGCGTTTTCATTGGCAAAATGCATGTCGGCGGAACACACAGCGAGGGCGGGGCCAGGGCGGGGCGTTTAGTTTACTATCAAAACGCCCTAATTCCTCTTCGGTAGGATTTGCGGGCAGAATTGGCCTTCGCATGAAGGCTTTCCCGCGAGTGTGGAGGGTTGTTGAGTGTGAAAGTGACGCCGACGACATAGTGCAGACAAGATGTGGGCCTTCGATGCGAGCCCTGCAGCCAACGGTCGTGGTTCACATGAAGGGGGGGGCTATGTGGGGCGTCGCCATTTTCGTTGTAGTCCTCACAAATGTGGTTCTTTAACAATACAGGGCACGTGAGGGCCGTGGATGCGAGTCATTACCCATGTCATTACCCATGTTTCGGAAGTCGTGAGGGCATATCGCAAATTGTCAGCGTCTGCCCCAGTGCTGATAGCAGAAGGCAAAAATAAGTGGACCCGCACCGGCTTGGCGCAGACAAGATTTTCCCGCCCGCCGTGCTGTCGCCTAGTAGCATTTTTTGCTACTAAACCTTGCATGCGGGCCTAGGCCCCGTGGCATGTGGTCGGAGAGGGTGGCATGCACTCAGCGAGCGCGGGCGCAGGCGATCGTTCGGGAGCGAAGCGGGAGGAGGAGCGGGAGGAGGAGCGGCAGGGGAAACGGGGAGGGGGTTAGGAGCGGGAGGACCACGAGGGGAAACGGGAAGGAGCGGAGGAGGCGCGGGAGGAGGAGCGGTAGAAGGTGCGAGAGGAGGAGCGGGAGCGGAAACAGGGAGGGGGAGGGGGAGCGGGAGGGGAAGGAGGAGAAGGAGTGGGAGGACCGGGAGAAGGAGCGGGAGGAGGACTGGGAGAAGGGACGGGAGCGGGGCTATGGTGAGCGAAGAGGAGTGGGAAAAGGAGGGGGAGGAGGGACGGGGGGAAGAGCAGGAGAAGCAGCTGGAGGAGCAGCAGCAGGAGGAGCGGGAGGAGGAGCAAGAGGGGGAGCGGGAGAAGGAGAGGGAGGAGGAGACGGGGGACGAGTGGGAGAAGGAGCGGGAGCGGGGTTATGGCGGGATCTTTGTCACGTTGTTTGGTGGAGGAGGAATGAGAGGACGAGGAGGAGTGGGAGGAGCGGGAGAACGAGCGGGAGGGAGAGTGGGAGGGGAAACGGGAAGGGGTGGAGGAGGCGCGGGAGTGGGGGGGTAAGTGGACATTGATTGATTGAACAATCCAAAAAAA